GCACTGGGCTTCATTTATCTATACCTAAAATGCTACATTGTCCTTAATTATCACATTCCTATATACTTTCAGGAGGAAGAAGAGCATCTGGGTTAAACTGATTATATTCAGAGGTGGTTCAGTGGGGCTGCCACTGATCAACCCAGGGTCTGTGTATGCTGTCCCCAGCAAGTCATCTCAGAAATAAGTCCTGGGAATCTGCTTCTGAAGGGTCACAACCTTGAAATCTCTGTGGTGTACAGTTGTACTCTTCACACATGCCGTTGTTAGGTGCCATCAACTTGATTCCTACTCATGGTGACTGTGCACAACAGAACAAAACCTGACCCGGTCCTGTGTCATACTCACAATAGTTGCTATGCTTGAGTTCATTGCTGCTGCCACTGTGCCGATCCATCTCACGGGACTTTCTATTTTTGACTGACCCTCTACTTTTCCTAGCGTGATATCCTTCTCCAAGGACTGGTCCTTCTTGATAACGTGTCTGAAGTATGAGAGATGAATTCTGGCCATCTTAGCTTTTATGGAGCTTTCTAGCTGTACATCTTCCAACACAGATTTGTTTGTTCTTCGGGCAGTTCATGATACCTTTAATACTCTTCTCCAACACCATAACTCAAATGCATCAATTCTGCTACAGGCTTCACACATGGGTTTTCATGAAGCTGTGACTCATGAGGGCCTCAATATAGCAGAACGGAATGTTACTGTTCCTGTACCATCCTCATGGCCTCTAGCATGTTTGCCTTCATTGTTGGGGCTATTGTGTCAGTCCCCTTCTTTGAGGTTTTCGCTGTGTACACTGAGCCTCCACTTTACCAAACATGGTATCCTTTTTGTGTGATTGGTCTTTCCTGATGACGTAAATGAGCAGGCTTTATGCCATCCTTGCTTTGAAGAAGCATTCTTGTCATACGTGGGGCTTCAAAACGTTTGTGGGAAAATGGAATGAAAAGATAATAGAATTTTTCCATGAGCTTTTTGAACCCCCCTTGTATTTCCTCTAAGATAATATATGCTGGGCAGGGGTCATTATGAATCCCATTTCCCAGATCAGGAGACTAAGCGTCAGAGATTTTAGTCTGTAAGTAATGGAATTGGCCCTTGAAATAGCGCCCTTTCTACCTTTCTTAAAACTATCTCTTAGTAGTTGTTGTTGTTAAGTGCCATCAAGTCAGTTCCAATTCATGGAGACCCTTTATAGGGTTTCTGAGGATCGACTGGTGAGTTTGGACCGCCGGCCTTGTAGTTCAAACTGACGGTGGGGTCCAATGCTTTTCCTATGGCACCACACCAGAACCCTAATCTCCTTGTGGTGCTGTTGTTAAGTGCCGTTGAGTCAATTCTGACTCATAGAGACCCTGTATAGGTTTTCTGAGGAGTGGCTGCTGAGTTTGAACCTCAGACTTTGTGGCATATATCTGGTAGCGTAGTGGTTACGAATCGGGCTGCGAACCTTAAGGTCAGTGGTTCGAAACTACCAGCCGCTCCGCGGGAGAAAGATGAGGCTTTCTAATCCCGTAAGGATTTACACCCTCGGAAACCCTGTACAGGGTCGCTATGGGTCGGCTCCGACTCGAAGGCACTTAACAACAACAACAACA